GATTACTTCGTGTGCTCACACAAGTTGTATAGGAAGCCAAAAATCTAAAGAGGGGCACTGCGCTCATTCAAAAATGATATTTCATTCATCTGGGAGACTGTCGTGGTTCGAGTACTTCTCTAGTATTTTCTATGCTCCCATGAGGTATCACTTCCATATTGAAATTGTTCATCACGATACTAGTTTCACTCGTATCTGATGCGTGTCAGTTACCTGAACGCACGTGTGCTGCCCATTTTTTTTCTTAGACGTGAACACTGGAATAAATGACTGAGGTACTCTGTATTACTTACTAGGCATCCTTCCCAATATCAATTGTTAGCATTGTAGGGTGGCCCATGAAAGCACCACCTCCACCGTTTTATGAAGAACCTCCAAATCAATCACGGCTCCCCAATGAACCGCCATACGAGCGAACTCCACCGTCACCTCCCCAGAGTAAGTGAACAATTATTTATTTATATAGACTTTTTCCTTATGTATTGCGTTGATTCAACGGCGCGACGAAAATTAGCATTAGCATTGAGCATTAATGGGATTCTGCTTCGACGAGTGCAGTTTTTGCCTTGTTGTCAATCCACAAAGCCAGCAATAGTGTGAAGAGCGTGCCTAATTTTGTACCAATGGTAAGACAGCTTTCAAAGTTGCGATGACGCGCTTTAATGCGCGTCGACGCGCAACAGCGTTCCTATAGAGGCGGACGCAGCCGCAGGCGGTAGTCGGTCGCCTTGTGCTTTGAGAGAGTATAGGATAGCAGGAGGATAGGGGCTGCCTTCCTGCAATTTGGTACTCTCCCACTCTTGTATACTCTCCCAGAACCCTAGCGGCCACTGTCGGTCGATGTCAGACAGCGGCTGCGTTCGGATTGTGGGATATCCAATTCTTATTGTGCAGCAAGAGAGCGATGTTCCTGTAGCTATCCATGCTGTCTCGCTATCTGCTACCTCAACTGATTTGATTCCCATGGATGAGGAAATCCAAAGGCATAGCACAGTCTCAAGATGCCGCCAACCAGGAATTACTACTAACGATAAGATGGTTGTGACTGCTTGCCTATGCGGAATCAATAATGCGTTTGATGGCAGGAATTTCGAACTGGAAAGTTAGAAGGAACGGTCTGAGTCCAAGCGACTGTGCTGCGTCGCTGTGTAGAGGGCCTGCATTAAGTTGGCCTCTAGAAATAATAAAGCTATCGGACAGAATCTTCAGAAGCATTTCTCTGTGCGTGCAGAAATAGGACTCTGTTCAACTGTTGG